TAGAATCGAACTCGCAATTAATTAAATCTAAATATTAAGTTTGGAGGATAAATAATTGCTTGATTCAATTTATTTTATTACTTTAAATATTAGAAATGATAATAAAAAATTTAATTTTTTTTAATAAACTAACACATAAAAAATTTATTAATAATTTCAAAAAATTTTAAAAAGAAAAAATATCTTTGTTTTTACTCTCTTTTTTTTCAATGATAATAATAATAATAGTAAAACATGAATTTCCTCTTAAAAAAAGGGTAAAACATGAATTCTTTCTGAGTAGAAGAATGGAAACGGTTTCATTCGGTATTCTTCGGTTCTTGCTTTGGCGCCAGAACTCAGTAGGCAGCCACGTTATTGATACTTCCGGTTGCTACGACATCTTTACATGTTGATGCTCGCTTCAAAGATCAAAATTCGAGAATCTATGATTCTTCATCAAGTTTCTTTTCATGGGTCCTTCTCAAGTTCCTTCTTTTATCGCTTCCCCTTTCGTAATTTCAGAGCCCAGATCAATTCTAAACGCCCCCAGAAGTTTCAAAAAGTAATTCTCAGTTTCCTGTTTATCAATTGTTCATTAATTTCATTCAATACCCATTTTTTCTTTTTTCGATTCTAGCCTCACATTTCTTTTGTGCTTCTGTAATTCTGGCAGTGCTTTTATGGGAATTGGAGCAGATTGAGATTGGCTGGTTTAAGTAATACTGCAATTTGTTGCTCATTTGATGAATTCTCTGTTGAGGAAAATTCTGGAAATTTAAAGGAAATAAGGTTCTCACATTTGAAAGAAGAACGGGGAATCCGTGCCAATCATCAGACCTTTCTCTGGCTTTTAGAGGGGTGTTTGAATTCTGGGTCTTTAGTGGATGTGAAGAAGCTTCACGGGAAGATTTTGAAGCTGGGATTTGATAGTGAACAAGTTTTGTGTGATAAACTCATGGATATTTATATTGCCCTAGATGATTTGGAAGGTGCAGGTAAGGTTTTTGATGATATGCCAGACAGAGACGCGTTTTCTTGGAATAAGATAATTTCTTGGATTGTTGCAAAAAAATTGAGTAACAAAGTATTGGGTCTATTTTTACGAATGATGGAAGAGAATGTGAAACCCAATGGAAGTACATTTGCAAGTATTTTAAAGGCTTGTGGTGGTGGTTCTGTTGGGTTTAATTATGTTAAACTAATTCATGCTAAGATTATTCATTATGGTTTTGGAAGCAGCCCCCTTGTTTGTAATCCATTGATTGATTTGTA